GTAAGCTCATTGCCCCCAACAGCTGGGTACTCATTTTAGCGACCTCAGAAGGATGTCGGCCTGAGTCTAGCCTGAGCCCTGGCTAGTACTGAACTCGCAACCTTGTGCTCTATGAGTGAGTGGCTGCAGGACAGGCATTTAACCACTGTGCCTACAGGGCTCCTTAAAACATTGTTAGACCGCACAAAAAGAATCTGTGAGACCCACTTACTGGAAGCACCTTGATTGGGCTATACAGGGTAACGGTTACTCCAGCTCAGACATCAGAAGGCTGCCAGACCCAGAAAAAACCACAGAAGTGAAAACAAACAGCCACCCAAAGGGAAGGTATTTTTTACCTTACATGAAAGGAGCCATGGACAGGATAGCGAAACTGATGAGGACACACAACCTCGAAATGATCTACAGATTGACCAAGAAAATCCAGCAAATGCTGCACTCAGTGAAGGACTGGAGGGACCCTCTTATGGTTGTAAGGGTCTACCGCATACTGTTAAGCTGCAGACAAGTCTACATAAAGACCATGCCAACAACTATCAGGGCAGAATTCACAGGGAAGTCACTGAAATCCATAAACACTTGGACAACTTCAACAGGAAAGATGAACCCCTGAAAGTAAACAAAGGGGAGTAACAGACCGCCTCTTTGCGTCGGCTTCCGGGTGGCTTCAGAGTGCGGCGTTTTGACGTCATACGCTCTGAAGCTGCCCAGAAGCTGGCATCACGCCATCCGCCCTCCCACCAACACATGGGCCGCCTTCATGGCGCTCTGGCAGTGCGGCATTTACATGCCACATGCCACAGGAGCACCATAAAGCTGTGGTGGGGAGGGAAAAGCCAGCTGTTTGCCAGCTCAAAAAGAAGCAGCAATTTGCCGCTTCTTTTTGGGTTGGCAAAAAGCTGGATTGGGGCCACAGCATGCGGTTGCTGTGGCCTCATCCTGGCTTTCCCAAGGGGGCCTTCAGGCCGCTGTGAAGGGGCGCTTTGTTCTGCCCCAAAGTTTGGCAACTAGTCCTGGGGGAAAAAAAAAAGTGCGGCTGCCCCACTCCAACTCCATCCCCAAGTGGAGGCCAGAATGGTAGGCTGGTCTGCAATGCTCCTCAGTCTTCTTCTGATTTCCTGACTGCAGTCCCCATTTCTATTAATGTTTGATCCCAGGTATGGGAATTCTTTGATTATTTCTATTTCTTCATTGTCTAGGTTGAACTTGTGAAGGTCCTCAGTAGTCATTATTTTTGTATATGTCAACAATATTTTGTCCACAATATTTTGTTTATGTCCACAATACAAAAGTGCCATAGTTCCATCCTAAGGAATCTTGGGATTTACATTCAGGGAGGATGTCAGAACTCTGCTATGTTGCAGTAATTTCAGTAATTGGGGAAAGTGTTAAGTGGGATAGTCATTTAGTTGCTTGGTGTGGGGAATGGGGGTCATGTCCAGCTTGATAGATTGCTTTTGCTAGTTTGGCCTTGGATCAAGGTGTTGGGCTGTGGATAGTGTAAGAAGCTTGGAATGTGGGACCGGGAGGAGATGGGAGATAGCGGGCTGTGCTTGGGTTAGTTTGGGAAATGCTTGGGTTAGTGTGGGAAGGGGAGGATTGGACAGTGAGAGTGCTTAGTTTGTGGGGATAGTGGGTGGAGAGCTGTAGTTCGCGCCAGAAGGTAAGGGGAGGAGTCGTGGCTTTGGGTTTTTAATCTGTTGTTCAAGCTTTGGGGGGACAATTCTAGCTTAAACTCTTGTTTTCTTTTTCTTTGTGACTTCAATAAGGTTTTGTTCTGTTTCAACCATCTGATCTTTCTTGATGTACAAGGGAGCTGAATTGGCACATTTGGACAGTAAGCTAGAACTCTCCTCTCTGTGATTTGGTACGATGCAGCTCCTCAGCTCCTCTGGTGCCTCAAGCTAAATTACAAGTCCCAGGCTTCCACAGGATGTTGCCCTTGTAGTTAAAGTAAAATCATAGTGATATAATTGTGTAGCAGCATGAAAGGGATATAGCTTCATTTTTCCCAGAACTAAAAACAGATCCTTGAGCTTGCCTTTACTCTTTCCTTCCCATCCCCTTTTCCTTTTGTGCCATGCCATTCAGATTGGCACCTTGATTTTATTGATCATATGTAAACCACTCTAGAAGTCTTTTTGATTGAAGAACAGACTACTGCCTCTTAGGATTTCTGACACATGGACAGTCTCCAGAGCCACAAGGAGCAAACCTCCCATTTTTTAAAATATACTTCAAAGAAAAAGAAAACAAGAGTATCAGGAACTAAATAATGTCAATACTGAATTGGGTGCTTTCATGGAATACATACATTTTCCTCAACATTATCAGCAGGAAAGGAAATAAAAACCAAGTTGCTCCACATTGTGCTATCCAAAAGTGTGTTTCTATAGTTCTGTTCTCTTTTTTTGTAAAAGAAACTTATAACAAATCTGATGACACCCACCTTTTTGTTACTAGCCTCCCAGTTTAAAGCGAAAATACATCAGGTTAAAATGGAAACAGGTTGACTGGTCTTTTTACATTATTAAAAACTCAGTCTTCATGGGTGAAAGCCACGCAGATGGCTGTAAGGTATCATCACCAAGCTGTAAGAGCCATTGCTCCATCTGGCGGCATTAATGTAGATGAACAGGAATTCAGAATAGGGCAAGAGTGGCATTTGCATCAGTGGCCTAACTAAGGGTTCTAATCTAAGCAATCCTGTTTCTTTTGCTCAGGGAGGGTGATAGTTACTAGTAAGCCAGGCACAAAGTCAGCATCTACTTCCATTGTTCTTAGTAAACTATGGACAATGCTAGATTGCTTTTCTCTAAGAATGGAAGGATGACTTTGAAGGTCACTGTCAAGGTCATATAGCACAGAACACTGCCTATTCATTTCCATGGGCATTGTCTGTTCATTTGTGATTGGAATCAAGCTGCAAAGACCAATATTTGTCTACTGAACACTGCAAAGTTAGCCAGATTGAAGCTGAAATCCTATGCACACCTACCTGGGAATGCTGCTGCCACACTGCAGAAGTAATGCAGTCTGGCTCCATATTATGGAATCCTGGGATTGTAATTTGTTTTGGCACCAGGGCTCTGACAAAGAAGGCTAAATATCTCACAAAACTACAAATCCCAGAATTCTATAGCATTGAGCCATGGCATTTAAATCAGTGTCAAACTGATAGTGTAGATGCAGCCCTTGTTTCACTAAACACAAAGGCATTTATGTCTGAGTGGACATGTGTAGGTTTGCATTGTAACCATACATGCTGGAAAATTCTGAGTGCTATTGTCCAAAAAAAAACCATTTCCAAGGGCTTCCTCAAACTGTACACTAAACCAAAACATTGGAAAGTTAGTTTTGGGGCTAAATTTACACAGTTCTTAGATAACATGGCTATTGTAGTTTTAGTTTGTTATCTTATTATTTAAAACATTACATTTATATTTGATTTGGTAATGGTTGTAAAATTCCCTTGAGAATGTTATGAAAATGTGGGGAAAAATTATTGTAGGTTAATTTCCATAACAGAAAAGAAACTGGCATTTAGTTTTCCAAATATACTGTTTATTAGTCAGCATATTATGTTACGTTTAATACTATATTGCAAATATACTGATTGAAAACAAAATAAAATCAGCAAATATTCTATGCAATTCCAATTTTAGGTACACGTTATTGTTATAATACTACTATACAAATAAAAATAAAAAGAGACTTTTTAAAAGTTCATATTCTGGCCCAAGACAACTCATATTATCTCGAGTAAATTATTGACATTTTATTAAATGCATAAAGTTGAACAACTGCACTTCCTTGTTCTTATCCCAAATATTTGAATCTACCCATTCCTAATTTTTGCCAAGAGCAAAGTGTTAGAGCTGTGGTGGCGAACCTATGGCACGCGTGCCAGAGATGGCACGCGAAGCCATTTTTCTCAGAACACGGAAGGTGGGGGAGAGCAGTGCACCTGTTCTTTCTCTTCCCAGCCATCTCAGCCCTTCAGATGCCTCCAGAGAGGCAGCTGAAAACTCGGGAGAGTGTAGGGGAAGGAGGAAGAACAGGCACACATCTATTCCTCTTCCTGCCAGGCCCTCAGCTCTCTCCGGAGAAGCAGCTGAAGGCCAGGGAGGGTGCGGGATGGGGGTGGGGGTAGAAGTCCTGTCCCGGAGGGCAGAAGTCCCACCTCAGAAGTCCTGCCCCTGGAAGTTATTTCCCCCCTCAGCACTGGGTAACACCCAGTGCCAGAAGACTTTTTATTTTGGTCACTCGGTCCCTAAAAGGTCCGCTATCACTATGTTAGAGCAAAGGTGGCTAGAAGATAGATCCGGATCTCCTTCAAGGGTCGGCAACTGCAGAGGGGTTGGGTGCCAGTCCAGCCCAAGCCCCTACCCACCCACCCCAGTTACCCAGTTGGCTGCAGCAGCATGTTTCAGTGCTGGAAGTAACACAACTTCACTTCTGCCTGCCATTTTGGCCAATGTTTGAACTTTTTTTTCTTTTGTAGGGGTTTTTGTGGGTTTGAGGAGTTCTGGAGGGTTGTTGGAAGCAAAGTATTGCATTTGCGGGCCATTTGGGTGGGCTTTTGGCTATATTTTAACAGAGAAAAAAATGCCTCAAAATCAGTCCCAAATTTTTAAAAAAGTTTTTTGGGGGTTTCTAGGGACACGGTTAGGGTTACCAAGGGCCCTATGTGGAGCTTCATCCCATAACTGAGTGGGGATGTCTGTGTGGGACTCCTTCTCTCCCTGGTCCTGCTCTAACCACTAGACCACCCAGTGGTAGAAGCATCCAATTCTTATGGTCATTTGGGGAGGAAGGGTTTAGCAGCATCTCTAGCCCTCCTGCAAAACCAAAACCTCAAACAGATCCTAAGAGCCTGCTGGTTGGCTCCCCTTTTGCTAGAGATCCAAGAAAGGTGGCTATTTACAGAACAAAGAAGATAACAAAAAAGGACACAAACTTGTGTGATATTGCATATGCTCATTCTTATATATAAGAGACCCAGTATGGTGGTTTAGTGGTTTGAGTGCTGGATTAGGACTCTAGGAAACCAGGGTTCAAGTCCCTCCTTTGGGTTACCTTGGTCAAGTCATATTCTCTCAGCCTCAGAGGAAGGCAAGGGCAAACCCTTCAAACAAATTCTGCCAGGAAAACCCCATGATGGCCTTAGGGTCACCATAAGTCAGAAATTATTTGAAGGTCCACAGCAACAACAGCATTTACATATACAAATGGAAAATCAGAAATGATTTTTTAATTATTTGAACAGAATTACAGTGCATTTTACTCAAGTGGAGAAGACTGTGGTTTGTGTGTCTGCTGAGTCTTCTGTTCAGGGGCTCACTGTGAATAGGCAATGCCCAGCTCTCTTCTTTATCTTTTTCCTCATGATTCTTTAAATTAGAAATTAAATTTAAATTTAATACTAAAGTTTCCCAGATCTCAGGGCTAGAGCTTCTTCTCCAGTCCTCAAGGTAAGGAATTTCAGGGCAAGAGCACTGCCTTGAAAATGTTGTATATATAACTTTTCCTCATCTGTTAGACTTGGTGATCTTTCACTATACCGTTATACCATTATGACTACTCTTTAACTTTCATGGCAGCATTCTGTGGGACCCTGGGATTTATAGTCTGGGAAAGCACTGGAGCTCTTTGCCTGAGAATTTTAAGTATCCTTCCTCAAACTGCAAATCTAAAATTCCATAGGATGGAACCATAGCAGTTCAAGAAGAATCACAGTACTATGATTCTGTAGTGTGAAAGGGCCCTTGGTATTTTTTTATTCTAATGGCATACTTTGTGCAGTTGTGGTTGATGCTTAATGTGTCATGCTTAGTAACATTGACCCCTCCAGACTCTAGACTCCCTAGTCAACCCCTTCTGTGGCCAAAAAGGGATGAATAGCCTCTCTTGACCTTTTAAAGAGACTGCAGAAACAAGGTGCACTTAATACATCCGTGTGGTTTGAAAAACCAGAAATGGTTATTTATTCATTTATTTTGCAATTTTGGCAGTCTATGCAGCTCTCGGAAGTTCCCAAGGGAAGAAAATTGGACTCATGGTAGTTACTCACCCATGGGGGCAAAAGATGGACAGATTATGGCTTGTCCTTCCTCTTGGAACTCTTTTCCTGATGCTGCTTGCCTGCTCTGAAGATATGTTTTGAAACCACAAGGGCTACTTTAAAAAGAATACAGAGATCTCCAGGAATCTGCTCTAATTAATCTGCATATAACTGCAGAAATAAAGAAATGAAAACACTGAACTGTAACTTGACAAGGTGGTAATTTTCTGGAACCATATATTTAGTATCACAGTACATATTCACACAGCATATTTATATTAATTTCTCTTTCGTTCCAAAGATTCCTCTGGGATTTTCTATTAGCCTAGTGTCCTATCCAAGAACCTATCTATAAGGCAAGGGTTCAGGCTATCTGGAGGATAGTATCTTCCTATATGAGCCTGCCAGTACTCTAAGATCTTTGTGGGAGGCCGTTCTCTCAGTCCTACCACCTTCACAGGGTAGTGAGAACAATAGAGAGGGCTGCTTGGTGGCTGCTCCCAAACTTTAGGACTCCCTCCCTAGGAAGGCAGATGGCTCCCTTCTTCTGTACTTCTGCCAGCAAGGGAAAACTTTTCCATTCCAACAGCATTTAGGAGTTGACCTAAATGGGATTCTAATCGTATGCTGATTTGTTGATTTTTATCTTTTGATTTTAATTTGATTTTAAATGTTTTTAATTCTATTGTAATTAGTTTAATCCTCTTTCATTGCATTTTAAAAATAACTTTTATATGTTTCATTGATGTACTTGCATTTACTTTAATCTATATTTGATTTAATTTTTGCAAGCTGCCTTGAGTCCCAGGATTGGGGAAAAGGCAGGATATAAACGAACAAATAATAAGATTGAAGAAATACCATTCCCAGGGTTTCCTGTTAGGAAGGAGGTTGTAAATCAGTTAAATAGAGCTATGGTATAGACAACTCTCCACATAGTGGAAGGTACCTAAAAGCCATCTAGTCTTTTTTTCTAGTGCAAAGCAGGTCTATCCATTTATGAACCTCTGAAAGAAAAAAGCTACATAATCCAGTTACTGTGTGTCACAGCATAGAAGGCAAAAGCACCACAGAAACTTTGCTTTTTTAGCAAAACATGTGATCACATAATATGAAATTGGCACAGGAGCACCCTGTCAAGATTCTAGAGACAGTGAGGGCTAAAGTAAATATTAACGGAAATCCTGTAATAGTCCCAATGCATCCTTCCTCTGTTATCCATAATGTGTATTACATCCATAATATGTAATACTCATACAAGAGGACTAATATATCAACAAAGATGGCTGGGGCAATTTAAACCCCACCTCATTGCCTAGCCTGCATTAGAAGTAATGTTTTCACTGACTCCAACGGCACAGAAAAGGCAAATGGCACAGGCACAATGTCCATGCCAACCACTATTCCATGGTGACATCTTGTCTCTATCCATAAATAGAATGGATTGGTCCCATAGCAACTAAGGAATTTGGAGGCATACAGTTCCTTGCCTGGTGTTTTGGTTTCTTCCCCTCATAGAGAGATGAGGTGCCCTGACCAACTCATGCCCACCTGGAAAAGGAGCTTCAGAATGCGTCCATGGATGCTACCAGAGTGGCCAGCACAGCCTCCAGGTGCTCTTGATAGACATAGGCCACAAGACCTCCTTGGTTGGCCCAGCGCTCAGCACCCACAGAGCCCTCCACTGGCTTGTTGTAGGTCAGTTCAGGCAACTGTTTGCGTTGTCCAGCCTGCCATGCCTGCAAGGCCTGCCTAAGATCCACAATGCCTCCGCCGAGGGCTCGCAAGATGGCGTGGGGGCCACAAGAGTCCCATTTGAAGGTGCTGCCTTCCGAGAGCACATATGCATCTGCAAGGCCTAAAGCCACACACAGCATCTTGTATCCAGCCCCGGAGGCAAAGCAGAGCCGCTCCCCATAGAGAGGGGCCAGAGCCTTCTGCAGTGCAGGTTTCTCATTGCTGCTTAGCACCACACGGGGAGAAGGCTGTAGCAGGGGCTGGTTGAGAGAGCTCAAGTTGGTGCCTTCGTAGGAAATGCCCCAGTGATATTTGCTCTGCCATCTGCAAAGGAGGCAAAAAATAGTCAGTGAATACTTGTGAGGAAATGCAACAAACTTTGGCAAAGTTTTTTGCACTACCAGACTCCTCCTTGCTTGGAGATTCCAGGAGCTGTATGTAGTCCCAAGCAATCTCTTTTCCAAACTCTGAAAGACACTCACAGTTCATCAAATTAATAGAGTTGGTGTTTCGTATCCGTTGGGGTTCCATGGGATTTGAAGTCCCATTGTTCCCAATGGTGTGCGATGTGTGTGTGTGACTGCATTGGCACAGCCATGTGCACGGGCCACTATTGGGAACAATGGGGCAGGCCATCCAAGGATGCTCCAGTCCGTGGATGGCAAGCCTGTGGAAGGGAAGAGCTGACTGTAATTGTCGGATAAGATAGCAACTGAGCTGCCACTCTTTCCTGTCCCCTACCCAAACATTGATACAGGTGCAGGGAAGATGATTGAGGCGGCTTTCAACCATGTAAGGTAGCACCATTCCATCATTTGTTGCAGCCAAAAAATCAAAATGAAAAAGGAGCCTGGGTAACAAGAGGAGGGACGTATAAAGGAATGCTTAGTGAATGAGAATTGGGTTCTGGGACAAGATCCATGGGCTTTTTAAAACAGCTAATCTGTTTAAGAACTGGACTGTTTGTGTGTAGCAAAGTATACCATTCTTGGATGTAGCACCAATGTGTGCTCTGATGTACTTGGTGTGATTGGATCTGGTCTGTATGGGCTCCCTGTGGTAGTTCAGGAGATAATTCAGGGAATCCCAGGTGAGTGGCAGAGAAAAAAGGAACAATTTCTTCAAAATAAACTTTCTCTTGGTCAGCTACCATCACAGGGGTCACTTGGTGAGGACATGAGAGAGAGTCTTCTCGATGGTTACTCTCACCCTCTTGAACTCCCATTCGCAGGAGGCTAGGGACATTCCCTCCCTCCTTGCATTTTGCTGGCAAGCAAAAACTAAGCAGGGTTTTAATATGTAACCATGTCAGGGAGTATTTTTAATGGTGTATTTTATTTACTTTTTAAAGTTTGCAAGTTTTAAAATAATTTTATATTGTTTTAATTGTGACTATTTTAATTGTTTTAAAAACTACATTGGTAGATTTTAATTAATTTCCTTCTGTGAGCTTCCTTGGGTTCCAATCCAGAGGAAAGGCAGCATATAAAACAAACAAACAAACAAACAAACAAACAGCTTGACGGTATTAAGCTTTGGGCAAGGACAAGATATTTCGCTGCCTCAAGTAAAGGACCCAATGTTACCCTCCCCCCGCAATCCACATATACAAGTACTTTTTCGGCAACCCTGTTATTGTCCTCCATCACTCCGGAGGTTACCAAGATAGTTCAGGGGCACAAGCCATGCCAAGGGGCATACATACTGATCTACCCTCCAGCAATGGGAAACAGTCAGAGGACTCAGGAGGAATGGATGGGTGGCTGCTACTGATACCTGCCTGAGCACCTGATGCATTCTGCCCAGTGGCAGCGCTGGCCCTGAATCAGCATGTGTGAAGCCTGTCCTGTCTTGTGAGACATCCTGGGTACCACTCTGGGAGAAAGATAGCTTATAAATGAAATAAATCAATAAATTAAGCTAACTAACTAATTAAATAATCTCTCTTGTGTGCACTGTGATGTGTTTGTAAAAAAAAAGAGAAAAATCCTGTGGTGTGTGGCATAGGAGATTATCACACCAGCAAAAAAGATGGAAGCATAGCAAGATGCTCCTGACACGATTTGGCAAAGATTATCACATGACGTCGCACAACATCACGATTATTCTGTGAATAAAGAGGAATTCTAGCACTGCTTTTTATTCACAGGATTTTTCGTTATTTGAGTACTGGACTATAACTCTGGATACCAGTTTGATTTTCACCTTGGCCATGAAACCCACTGGGTGACTCTAGGCAAGTCACACTCTCTCATCCTCAGAGGAAGGCAATGGC